TATGTATTAATATTATACAGGAAACTTGTATAGAATTTAAGAAATTTCAGGTATCTACTTAATATGACTTTAACTCACGTATGGTGGATGGTCTTACTTATTCTTACATCACCAACCCATTATAATATATGGCTCTTTAAGTAATAATTAACTATAAACGCACGGAAATTCGTTCTAGATTCCTCAAGGCCCGTATAATAAACTACACCTCACACTCCCAGAGTATGTGATGAGCCGACTGCTCGTATCGCAACTCCTCTGTCGAATATTGGCACAATGGTGAATCAATAAGTTTAAATGAGAACAATTTGCTCTTAAAGTTGCCGTGGCCAGTAAGAAATTGGGCAAGACTGATCCACCTCCAACCATGTCCTCTCCAGCCGCTCATGCACGGATAGGAAGAACTGATAAAGGTGGCGGCCCTTAATAGAAGATGCCCATCTACACTGCCATTCGTTTATAAGCTCGCCCCAAACGTCCGTTATTGGCTTAAACAATCTAGCAATTTTATTTCTATCACGTGCTAGAAAGCTTGCTGACAAATTAGGCCTCGCCCTGTAGTACATAGCAGCACGTCGCTGCACCTCAAGATCTACCGGAAGTACGCCTGCGAGCACAGGTAGTGCCTCAGTGCTAACCGTCCTATAAGCCTTACAGAGGATAATCAAGGCTAGAAGCTGGCCTTGGAGAAGTTTTCGCCGTACCGCGCCTATTGTGGCCCTATCAGCCCAGACAGGTGCCCCGTAGCACACGCATCCCAGGTAGGTTGCTCCGTATAAGAGAGAACCCAGGTGGCTTTTGAAATTCGCGTCAGCGCATAGAAGTTATTTTTGGCTTTCTCACTAATAGCCTTAATATGTTCAATGAATGAAAAGTTTTTTTTCCAAAACTAGACCGAGGTAAAAACACACTCCTTTCGTTTTACGGAAACATTGTTAAATTTAATAGACAGCCATGACTTTAGATTTCCTAAGCAATAGCTGGTAAGTTTTATGGGGTGCAAAAGTCAAGCGATTTCGTTCGCCCCATCGCGAGATCCTACTGAGACAGTCTTTAGCTAAATTCTCCAGTCCGGCGCGGGTATTTGATTGTACTAGCAAAAGGCCATCATTCGCATATCCAGTCAAAGTACAGCCACAAGGAAGGGGAATCGCGAGCAAATTATCAAATCCTAAATTCAATAAATACGGGCCAATAACGGAGCCCTGAGGACATCCCATTGATAACGACTTCGATCGAGAACAATGACCAAGCTTCAGTTTAACGGAACCGTGAAGGAAATAAGTGGATATTAATTTATATTATGTTACTAAAACAGCCACGACCTTTCAGTTTTAAGAGTAACATTGGCCACCATGCGTTATCAAAGGCACCGGAAATGTCCAGAAAAATGTGTCCTATATAATTGTGTTCAGACGAATTTACCATGGATCGGACAGAAACAGCCGTGTCGACAGTAGACTTTCCTACAGTGAAACCAAATTGATTGTTGTGGAATTTTGGTCGAGCTGGCAGTAGGTAAACGAGGAACGATAAGTCGCTCAAGTAGTTTCCCTAAAGATGGTAAAAGCGTGATAGGCCGGTATGACTTAGGGGTCATCGGGCGGTTTATTTCCATTCTTGGGGATTATGCGAATGAATCCACGTCGCCATACACGAGGAAAGACACCTTCCGCGATACAACGGTTGAATACAGTTAGGATCGCATCAGCCGCGGATTTACATGCTTCTATTATCATTTTATTTGAGACTTTGTCTTCACCAGATGATTTATTTAAAGGCAAAGTTTTAACAATAGTTACGAGCTCGTTGATGGACGGTAGATCAGACACAGGTGATTCAGGCGGTATAGCTGCCCACGACCTAACTTGTTGATGGTAATCATTGTCTGTCTCGAATACATCGTCAGGGACAAGTTCGTCGAGTAGAACTTCCGTTGTCTCCTCAATACCAGTGGTGTGAACATTGTTGACTTTTATGTTCTGTACGAATGCCAGATCAACGGATCTATTAGCTTTGAACTCATGGTATAGAGGCGACCACGGGCCCTCCTTATCTAATTTTTGTACAACCCTCCGCAGCAAATCACCCTTGGCTTTCTCCACCGAAGCTCTATAGCGTGACCTGGCAACTCTAAACGCAATCAGTGCTTCATCAAAAACGGTACCGGTTACCCTACGTTTCTTTAGTCTATTTAACTGTTTGCGCGCTTTACGAAAGCATTTACGTTGTTCGACTAGATAGTTATTCCACCAGTCGCATCTACGCGTACTAGTCACGGACCCGCGACCAAAAGCAACGTCGGCACAGTAAGTAAAGGCATCTGACATGATTTCAGCGCCCTCCTCGGCCGAGAGATCTCTGCGAGTGAAGTTTCTGGCTTGGGATGCAAAATATAAGTATGTATCTAAGTACCTAACTTAAACTATATTTTTTTAAGTAATACTAGCTTCTGCCTGCGACTTCTTACGCGCAATGTCGTTTTTACCGTTCCCGTAGGATTTTCGGTAAATATATCCGTCGTTGATTCTAACCTGCTACTCCCAGAACCTAACGGTCGCGGAGAACCTAATGGGTAACCGGGGCTCCGGCTCGACGTGCAGGAGAAGGAACGGGGTGGTTTTTAGTCAGTAAGAGTCTGACACTCCCTCCCCCTTTACCCAGGCGGGAGCAGTCATTCGATGATTTTCCCCCCTTAAACCGCCCCCCACCATTTCCAGCCAAATCAATTTAATCTATCTTTGGTTAATGCGAATGGTTAAAAAATTATTCTTTCACTTTTCAATTTCACAATTTCTGAATTAGGTACCTACTTATCTAATTATAAAAACAAACTAAAATCCATTTTCAACTTAAGACTTAGATAATAAGAATCATTTTCTGATTTTTGGAAAATTCTCAACACGGACTTCGAAAACGAATTTCCATTCATCCGGGTTTCCTCGAGTTCTATTTGTTTTATAAGGTCGGGCGCGGTTTTACTGTAATCAGAATTCATCAAAGTATTTTTAATAAACTAAGAAATAATTTACAAACAACACTTTATGGATAACATAATTTGTTTCCGTACGGGAATCAAACCCGTGACACGTTGCGCAAGTCAGTTGTCCAGCCACTAAACGAACCGTACAATCGTAAATAGCCTGTTGATACTGTAGACATAGATAGGCCCTGTTGTGGCCTTAGGGGCTCCGAAACACTTACGGAGTTTCACGCGATTTGTCTGAAAAGCACATAATAAATAAGCTGAGTTTCCTAAATAGAAGGACCATCTAGCTTCACCGACAAAGCGACTGACCTATAATTTGTTTTCACGTTTCAAAAATTAAAAAACTGCGTTTGAAAAAAACCGACTTCAAAAACTGAAGACAAGCGAAAAGAAAAAATAAAAGAATAGACTAAATAAAATAACTTATTGGTCATACGTACTTAAATCTTACACACCCACTGATAGGTTAGAAGTCGGTGCCGTCAGTCGGTCGAATTGAGAACCTCTTCCTTTTTTGAAGTCGATAAAATGACTGTTTTTTCATTTTTACCAAACAGGCTGGTTTCGTTACGGAAAGTACATCTACAGAGGCGGATCTATTTTACTGTCACGAGTCCAGACTTTAAAGATAAAAGCATAAATATGTAGGTACGTACTTATTCACATACGTAGGTATTCATTTTTTGAAAGCCCGGTAACGCACTTATCACCTACCTACTTCGCTGGTGTCCGGATGTCCATGGAAGTCGCCGTCTGCTCTGCTCGGTTGCCCCCTATTCCAGAACACGAGATACTTAGGTACCTACACCTAGTCACACGACAAGCTTTTACGTCATTTGAATTCAATAGCTTATACATACATATTACAACGTGTATACAGAACTTCAGTACAATCGGTTGAAGACATCTTCTTTAAAATTCAGAACTTGCAAGATTCCACGTCACACACACATACATACATACCATGCAACTTACAAAGTCCTTATGTATGTTTGTAAAGGATGTTCCCTTGTGTCTGTGTCGTGTCGTTCACTCGCTTCACTTACACCCTACATAAATTAAAACAAAGTCATTTGGCAAACGGCAAGGTTTGAAGGTCGTTTATATTTTAGTTTACTTTTTATAAATTGTGCACAGCGCACTACAGCAACCGCGCGCATCTCTATACTCAAACTATATACTATACTGAATGCAGTTAGTTAATAGGCCCGTACTTGGCGCTGTTGCCGCCCAGCATCTTACCCAGCTCACGGTAAAAGGGAAATGTATGCGTTTAGCGATGGACAGCATGCGTCATTTGTTTTCATGACTCCAGTCAAACCCGAGATTGTGGAAAACTGGCGACAACCGAGAACACGACTGTATCAACGAATATAATACATGCAATGCAATTTTCAAAGAAAAAAAAAAAAAAAAAAAAATGGGAGCTACCGTTTTTGTAGTTACCCGATGGCGCAGATGTAGCAAGAGGTTAACATAACATCACGCCTTTTTATCCCCGAAGGGGTAGGCAGAGGTGCACGTTACGGTACTTAATGCCACTGTACAATGTAACACCCACTTTTGCCATCCGTGCTACTACTGAGATTTTTAAAAACCCAGTAATACTTTGCCTGCCCCGGGAATCGAACCCGAGACCCCTTGCCCGGCAGTCGCACTTGCGACCACTCGGCCAACGAGGGAATCGAGTAGTAGCAAGAGGTCTTATGTTCAATCACAGCAGCTGTGTCCAATGGTGGGACCATAGCACATTCTGTACTGGACGCAAACCGAGGCTCACACTAGCGCCATCTGGTGAGCAAAAATACAGCAGGCCGCACTGAATCTATCGAGCGGGACGTGTGGCCGTTGTACCGGCTGCTGCCAGTGTAAGTTTACCTACCTGAAAATAAATAACGAGTTCGGTGGGAAGGCGGTGTCTTATCATATTGAAATAAAACCAACTCATTGCTTCTTAACTATTTATTAAACTCTATAATTATATAATTTATGATAATAATATTGTATTCAATTTACATATCTTTATGTACATACAGTTGTTAGCAAAATGTAAAAGACGCGAGTGGCGGCGCCGCGCGGCCGCGTCATGCCACCTGTGACGTCACGAGGCAGCGCGGTGGCGCCAACCACAAGCTAAAATACATTTCAAAAATCTAGCCAATATAAAACTCTGTATTTACACAAACCCCACAAAGTTCAACTCGCAGTTAGTAGCCCAGTATACACAAGACAGTAGCAGCGGGCCCGGGGCCGCCGCACGAAGCTCTACGCCTAAACATTAAAGCAAAGGCACGTCACGTGGACACTGCCACTAGCGCGGCGCGGGGCATACAACCGCTCGGATACATAGCCCACGGCTCTAGTAGGAACAACTCGACTACGGAACCAGAAAGTCCGTCCTAGACACAATTACACTAGTCCACCATTTATGAATACATTTTAGAAAACAAACATGTACTTAACGTAAAAAGTTAACAAAATAAGTTAAGACGCAGCCCGCAGCCCGCAGCCCGCACTAACAGTAATTTAAGTAAATAAAGCTAATACATTGGATGCAGCTATTTGGTCATTTTCAACCTAATTTCACGTATAAATAAAAACTTACAAATACATGCAAGCTAATAAATAGTGTAAAATAAAAATATTTGTAAAGAAAATACATTAACGTTCAGGAAATACAATGAAACATTTACTTCGAATGTTGTTGTATGTCTCCCTACCACACAAAACTAGCTTGTCGCGAACGATGGCGGCCAGAGCGACACTCTAGCTGACAACATCAATACGTACAGCCGAACATTCAACTGTATAAATTAAGTAAATCTCTCGTTCGACTCGGCATCTAATAAATAACTTTTAAATTTCATAAAAGTGCATTAATGTGTAGAAGACATATCAAGATGTACTTGTGTAGCAACCGGACAAGTTGATAAATACCTTGTTGCGCGGCTCAGTTCCGCTTGGAGGGCGGCACGAGGTGCGCGGGCAGCTCGGCCGGCAGGTCGTGGCCGTCGATCTTCACGTGGATGAGGTGCATGGCCAGCGCGAACTCGTCCTCGTCCAGGAACCCGTCCTTGTCGATGTCCGACAGTTTCCAAATCTTGCCGAGCACCGAGTTCGGCAGCTTCGACTTCACCATCTCCGTCTTGGCGGCTGTCGACAAACATCACCGGGTCAGCTTAGCAGCGTTGCTAACGCGATACACGAGCACACGACTCAAACGAAACAAGAACAAGCAACTTGTCGCTACATTCCAGCAGCTCCATCTGATGGACAACCGGCGCAATCTGATAGTAGGGACTACGGACTAAGCGAGGACTACGGGTGGACTACACTGCGGTACACTGTACACAGCACTCGATCAATCCTCTGACTCGGTAGAGTCTGATTTTTGGAAAACAAAGTATCTAAGATCAAGACTCACTCTAAGACTAACCTCAACGACTTCACTCGAAAACTAGAACGAAATCTATTTTGCATCAGGGAGACTAGACTAAGCTCTCATAGCATAATGCATATTTCATAAGTGCCATTACTTATACAGCGTGTCTACGGGACGACGACACTGCGATCACCTATGATGGCACAGTGCTCGTTAACTTGGCTACAAAATATTTGAGCATGTTAGCGATATTATCTCTGTAGCACAGCTCGATAGCTGACTGTATTCTGACTGGCTGCTGATCCAGTCCAAAGGTAACATGTTTAGCTTTCTCTAACCAAGTGCTCGGAGACCTGTCCACGTAAAATTCGAGGTATCTCTCGCCTGTGAACACATACACCAGCGAAACGAAGAGAACCTCGGTTGTTATTATCAGCGTGACGAGGTTCAGCGAAAGGAGAACCAGAAACCGAACCGTGGTCCACAGTGGTCCCGAGCTGTACGCGGCACACGGTGGCGCGCCTTCACACTCGGACTGAGTGTCCGCCTCGCTGTCGTCGCGGCCGTCGTCTGCGTGTCCATCATAGTGTGCGCTGTCACGTCCGAGCTCGGCGGCGCCGTCCAGACTGCCGGCCACACTGTGTATGGACACGACTGGCGAGTCGCGACCACCGGGGACCGCGGCTGCCTCGAGACTCAAGAGGAACTGCGTAATTAGTTGACAGTTTTGAGTAGCACTATAGAGAGAATTAACGATTTGCGTATAACTAAGGTTATTGTCTTGGTCTTTGAGATGCAAGCACAGATCAGTGATGTGAGAGCAGTTTTGTGTGGTAGCGAGGAGAGCGTCGAGAGCCTTGTGTACCGCGAAGTGATAGGACGTTACGTTCCGCCGGCGCGACTCTGTTGGGCACATGTAAGAAAGCTGTGTACCGGCGCCTGTGACTTTCCCGTCGATAGGGTTTAGCGCCTGGAAAATCTGGTCGTAGCGTGGCTTCTCCTTGCTGCAGATCCACTCGGGGTCGCCGTGGCCCGCGTCTACACCCTCTCCTCGTCCGTACCCAAATGGCGACACTTGGTCTTCAACGCCTTCGAACGCACCACCTGGAAACGAATACGGTAAACATTACTATAATGTCTCAAATATTTTAATATCAATAGACTAACAGTCAATTAAAAAATGTTTTGGTATTTAGTGTCATCAATATCAAAAAATAATGTAAGTGAAATAAGAATAATAATTGTTATGTATGACATATTGTATGTACATACGTACAGGTGACGAAAATAGTTCAATTCGGGACAGTGAACAATAGTTTCGCTATAGCACGGAACCAGCGGTCGGACGGTGGGTGTATTGGTGTCTGTTTTATGTTTTATCAGTAAGGGTGTGGTTTACAATATAATGTTAATGACTAAATGTAAGACAAATATTTTCTATACAGATCGCAACACTTCTTTCTGTTATGAAGTGACAGGATAGTGTCCGGAATACTTCAAGGAGGAACACACCAGATTCCGGAACGTCCGGTAACCTGGGAATGAACCTGTTTTGTACAAGGTACTCTGGCTAGACTTGAATACAAAACAATGTAGTCAATCGAAAATAAAAATACGGTGAGACATCAGAACTATAGCTGCCGGATCAGTAATTTAGATCTGCTACAATAAAATATTAGTTCCTTGACGTTAAGCACAGAACTTATGTACAGACACCACAACTATTTATTATATAGGCAAAAAAATAAAGATTGATTCAGTACAGAGAAATTGAGAAACCATTGGTTAGCTACTGAACCGAATAACGGTTACAGAAGATGTGGCTTGGTTAAAAACTATAATATAATTTAGTGTAATAATAGGTCCTGTCTCTGTACTAAGTTAATCCTTATTTCATTACCTGCATATTACAGAACAGTACGTCTTGTCAGTGTAATGGTTAGTGACGTGTGGAGGAGCCGCGATATTCTATTATTGAAACTAGTTGTGAAGATGTATCGTGTAACTAAATCACACTTGTGAGGGACGTTAATAGTATTGTCAGCGCGCATATCATCTGCATACCAAATGTATTTCATTACGTTACGTACGGCATATACACAACTTGCGTATGTCGTGCCATCTGTACGACAGAAAAAGTGCGATAAGTATTTTGTGGGTGGGAATAATACTCCAGTTGTATTTCACACAACTTGGGGACAAGCTAAGCGACAATACCTCTACACACTACTTCGTTGAACTGACCACAACCACTACATTTTAAACGGCGGTTCTACTGATTATTTAAATGACGAGTGGGCGCAAGGTTCATGAACAAGCGGAGGAAAGTGTAATTAATTATAGTACACTGCATAAGTTAGCATGTACTCATAATGGGGCATAATTGAAAACAAACTTGACAAGAAGTGACCCCTTTGGAATCAAAACGTGTGAAGTAATGTCAGTACAGATCAGCTGACAAACTGTAAATTAAAGACGAGGACGAGGACAAGCCTATTGAATACTATTGATTTAGTGTCTGATCGAGCGCTCGACAGAGCGTGCCGGTGGCCGCTAGTTTTTCTTCGGCAAAGAAATCCAGTAAGCTCGGCTCCTCACTACTCTAATACAATACATTGTCAATATCAAATTGATCAATGCTCACTAGGTCAGTCCTTTGTTAGCCAGATTAGGTAAATGTAATAATATTGTTTGCAAATAAGATCTCGCAAAGCGAAACGGTACATTTTGTTGCAGCAGTTTTGTTTATCCACAGCTAGGTATGGAGGAGAACACGACATAACGCTGACGAAATATTACAAGCAGACTGCGTCGTCTGCCTGTATGCCAACCGTGGCGCTAGCGAACAATGTCAAGCATCAGTCGGTTGTCAAGGCTTTAACAATTAGACTGTTTTATATATTTAGTTATTAATCGTCCAAAACATTATAGTTTACTTTTCCTAAGGAAATGTATGGCTAATATTTATTAAACAATTACGTTACTTCAAGTTCAAACAACGTTTAGATGTTTGTTTCCGAATTATGCAAAAACAGTTACATACATACAAATAGAGCGTAACATGGTACATGGTATATGGTATACCTAAGGCGGATTTTATCTGGATACATTGTCCCATATAAAAGTAAAGAGAAAATTCTTCATCCGGTGCTGGGGATGTGCGGCAAGTGCGGCAAGCTGTCGCTAGGGCCTCATGGCGCGGTTTTCACCCGCACCAGCCGCAGTGGCGGTATAGAGATTTATTTTCAAAACTCACGAGATCGCAGTTTTCTGCGGTTCCGCAGCCGCAACCTTGGCGGTTAAATCCCATTGCGATCGCATAGCAGTCGGGTGCAACACCCCGCTATGCGATCGTATACGCTCCAGTGAAGCTGGAGCCGCATACAATCGCAACCGCCGCGGTCGTAAAACGCACCGTGGATTGTGCTTTGATTTTTTACACATATATTTTCTACAAAGACTGCGGGCCCGCAACTGCGGCGGGCGCCGGAGATAATCGCGCGGTGAGTCCTTAGCATTACGGACTAAACACCACCCGCGCAGGTATATTGCTCAGCAGTAACTGCACCTATCGTGCAATCAGCTAATCACTAGTAGCCTTATACAATATATGTGTTCTCTAGGCGAATTAAACATAATATGTAGGGAGTGTGACGTCATAATCGACATTGTCAGTGATGGGAAGTCGCCGGACGAAGAATCAGTAGTTGATGATGCAATAATCTAGATCGAGCACATGTAAGTGAAAGTGTAAGACGCGCGGTGCTCGCCTGTGTTGACGTGCCGGTCAATGGTTGGAAATTGCCTACTGTGACTACTGCTATACAATTAAACGCTTAAATCTTGCTCGCAACGTTAGGTAAATTATCAAATGTGTGCTCTGTTACGACTTACGGCTACAACTTATAGAGTACACTCGGATTCTGATGATCTTACACGTAAAGCGTCATATAACTGGCAATAAATAATATATATTTGATAAAAACGATTTTTTTATAAAAACCCTGTTATTGAAGGTAACAAAAATACTCGACGTTAAGACGAGTCAGTTGTCTCGCGCATATAATACGTGTAGGTATACATATAATACCTAGATATGGTTTTCCATGAGCAAGATAACGTTAGCGATGACATCGTCAAAGTAAACTAAGTTATCACGAATTAACACTTTGTATTTGGAGCTATTGGGCAAACAACTGCTTTAGTAGTGTCCAACAACGGAGTCATGGAGGCTAACACTAGAAGCAAACCTTGACTTTATCAGGAGAGTAAGAAAACAATGACGACTTACGTATAAAAGACAATATTGTTATGTAGATGTAATTTAATGTTAAGTACCTATGTATCTAATAATTAGTTAAAAGTCGCAGGTGAGAATTTATGATAATAAATAATAGTAGCGTATGATCAAATTAACGTCCTTCGGGCGACGACGACGGGGCGACTGCCGGTCACTCGCGCGCAAGCAGGGACGAACATCCCCGGTGCGCGCGGCGGGGGTGTGTTGCTGCGAACCAATCACGGCGGGCTGGCGCGTCGTACGATTAGTTTACCGATCTCTCTCAATGTCTCAATACGTAAGATAATTTAGTTTACGTCGGCTCATGATCCCGAGGATACGATTTAGAAAAGTAAGTCAAGTATATTGACCTTAACTTCTGACTAGTGTACCGATCGATGGCTGGGTGATACTGAGAGAACACTGCACACCTTGACCAGCGCGAACCTTCAACCTTCTAACAAAAAAGGTTTGCAACTGGCCAAGCTTTCTGTTCGGTTGTTAGGTGTAATATTTGCCGTTGATAAAAGTAATTCGATGTCATCATGGTGGCTCGAAGGTTTAAGACGCCCGCTTTTCATGCATGAGGGTGCCGGTCCGAAACCAGAAAGTACTGAACAGGAAGTACCAATATGACTTTTTCCGAGTTATATGTACTTTCTAAGATTATTTAGATATCATGGACAAACGGTGAAGAAAAACATCGTGAGAAAACCTGGACTTATAATTTTTAATTATAAGTTTGAATCGCTAACCCGCATTGGGCAAGCGTGGTGGTTAATGCTCAAACCTTCTTCGTGTGAGTAGAGGACTTTGGTCAGCAGTGGCCACTTATGGGCTGTTGGTGTACGTTGATGTAAAAGTAATTCGCGTCTACGTGTGGTACCTCACTTGGCGATCGCGTGTCCGAGTGTCGCAGGGGAGCTACAACGAAATTAATTAATTTGGGTGTTCCCCGTTGCGCCAAGGTCCCAGTCCAGCGCAGGATACCTGTATCGCCGCGGTAAGGAGGATGTGCATCCGTCGGCAGCCCACGCAGCGCGCCGGTCAGCCACGACACTAGTGACCTGGCGCTACGTCGCCTCGCTCCACTTCCTACACTGTACCCGCAGCACTCTCGCAGACGACCACATTTATTGTCCTTCCTCCGGCTTTATATTTTCTTTAATTAATACTCTATTATTTATTACAGATTTTAGGCTAGACCCCAAGCGACGGCAGAAAATCACATAAGGATATTGTAAGCTGAAGTCGTGCTGGCCCGGAGGTTTAAGGCGCCTGCTCCTCAAGTATGAGAGTGCAGGTTCGAAACCTACCAACGGCAAGTATCAATGTGACGTTTTCCGAGTTATACTTTCTAAGATTATTTAGAAACCATTGACAAACGGTGAAGGAAACATCGTGAGGAAACCTGGGCTTATAATTTCTAATTATAAGTTTAAAGTCGCCAACCCGCATTGAGCAAGCGTGGTGATTAATGCTCAAACCGTCTCTGTGCGAGAAGAGTCCTTTGTTCTTGGTGTAACACTTTCTTTCTTTATTTCTTTTCCACGTTTATATCTGAAACGTCTTAATGCATAATTTCAGTTTAGGACAAGACGTTTTGTCAACGCCAGCCACCTCTGAGGTAGACAATGTGTGAACTGTGTGTAGTGTGTGAACATGTGACATGGAGTGCATTAAGAATATAATGAAGATGTTGCTTCAAAATTCATGTCTGCGTGTCTCCCCGCGCTCCCACACATCACACAAAGTAAACATCGCGGTGTAGATAATAATATATTCCATCCATGGTGTCCGTACGAATGACACTGACTAAAAATAT